GAGAGAGAGAGAGAGAGAGAGAGAGAGAGAGAGAGAGAGAGAGAACTGTTAGATACCTCATTGCAATGCCACAAGAGATAGGGAAAGGGGGAGAAAGAGAGGGGGAGAGGCAGACAGCAAGAGGGAGGGAGGGGGAGAGGGAGGGATGGAGGGAGGTAGGAGGTTGGAAGGGAGAGAGACTGAGTGAGAGAGAGAGAGATGAGCTGGCCATGTGTAAAAAATCAAGTCCTAATATGAAACAAGGAGAAAGAGCATTCGTCAGACCTTACGCACCGGTGTGGTAGCTACAATACATTCCCACGTTCCTAACACACGCGTTTATGACCACATGCAAAAGGTTCACACTGCCACACTTACATTCCTTCAAACTCTTGGACCTTGTTCAATTGTTTCAACGTGTCGTCGACGTGGTCACCATTGACACTCTGGACAACATCCTCTTGTCCCTCTCCCTCCGATCGCCGGACCTGCGACAACAGCTTCCCATTGACTTCTTTCAGTTCCTAGAGGGAAGCAAAGGAGGAAAGGAAGGAAAGAAAACCAGAGAGCTTGAGATCGTATGCATTTGAGGTCGCTTATTTAGTGATGAGATGTTGAAGAGAACGATGAAATGTTACAAAATGACACCGGAAATTCGAGCAAGATGTAATCAAATGGCGACTATATCACTCACTTACACATGCACACACATATGTATGCATGAATGAGATATGTGTGATCAATTACCCATTAAACGACAGAGCACGTATGGACGCACGCATGCACACACACACACACACACACACGCGCACACACACGCGCACTCGCACGCACGCACACGCACACTCGCACATGCACAAACGCACACACGCAGTACTAATATAGACCCAGAACGACCGCGTCAGTGTGTAAGCTCAGCTTACCTGTAGCTCGAGCATGAGTGCATCCCTCTGCCGCTGCATGTCCTGCTCCTTGCTCTCTAGCCCTGACCGCGCATACACCTGCTCCTGTAGCTTTCCCTCCAGCTCCTTCACCATCTGTAACTGTAACGATCGATCGACCGGCAAGTCGATTAACTAGACTGCATCTCATACGAGACCATGAGGTCAAACCTGTGCCAGTGATCATCTCTATAGAAAACATGATTTTGGCATTTCACATCAATGGCAGTTATACAGTGAAAGCATCTCTACAGAACAGACACCTGTCTATAAAGGACACCTGTCTATAAAGGACGCTTTTATACTACGCAAAGGGAGTTATACATACAATGAAGCCACCTCTATTGAACGAACACCTGTCTATAAAGGCAACTTTGTGCATTTCCCTTGAGGGTCAGTTAAAGCATAAAACCATCTCTATACAATGGACACCTGTCTATAAACGACACCATTCCCTTGAGCGATCCCTACACAGGTTTCGCCTCATTCGCACCAGGAGGACTCGCACCACCGCAACGACTCCTCCCCCTTCACCTGTCCATAAAACGCAATTTTTGCATTTCCTTATTATTATTATATCCTTATTATTTTCCTTTTACAGGTTTGACGTTATCACGATGACGCATACCAGCACAACAACTCCCCTCCCTCTGCTCCTCCCCTCACCTGCTCCTCCCCTCCCTCCGCTCCTTTCCTCCCCCCTGCTCTTCTCCTTCCCCTGCTCCTCTCCTCCCCCCTGCTCCTCCCCTCCTCCCCCGCTCCTCCCTTTCCCCGCTCTTCTCTCCCCTGCTCCTCCCCTCCCTCCGCTCTCTCGCTCCCCCCCCTGCTCGCTCTCCTCCCCCTGCTCCTCCCCTCCCCCCGCTCCTCCCCTCCCCCGCGCTCTTCTCCTCCCTGCTCCTCTCTCCCCCGCTCCTCCCTCACCCCACTCGTCCCTGCCCCTGCCTCTCTCCCCCTGCTCCTCCCCTCCCCCTGCTCCTCTCCTCCCCCGCTCCTCCCTCCCCCCCTCCCCTCTCCTTGCTCCTCCCCTCCCCCCCGCTCCTCCCCTTTTTCTGCTCCTCCCCTCCCCCCCCCCATTCCTCCCCTCCCCACACTCCTCTCTCCCTTGCTCCTCCCTCTGCTCCTCTCCTCCCCGCTCTTCCCTCACCCCACTCGTCCCTGCCCTGCTCTCCCCCCCCCTGCTCCTCTCCTCCCCCGTCCTCCCTCACCCACTCGTCCCTGCCCCTGCTCCTCCCCTCCCCCCCTCTCCCCCTCCCCCTGCTCCTCTCCTCCCCCTGTTCCTCCTCTCCCCCCGCTCCTCCCCTTCCCCGTTCCTCCCCCCCCCCGCTCCTCCCTCTTACACTCCTCTCTTCCCCCCCGCCCTCCCTCCTCCCTCCTCACCTGCTCTGTCTCGCTGCTCTGCAGGGAGTTGAATCGGTTCTTTCAGCTTCGTCGACTCTCCTTGGCGGCCGGTCGTGAGCGCGTTGGCCTTCGCTAGCTCGGAGTCAGCCGTCGTGTGCTGCTCATGCTCCTTATGTAGCTCCTCCGTCACCTCAGCTAGCGCCGCCGGCTGCAGCGTGTGCTCAACCTCCGTACGCTGAGAGATGCTGCCCTCCATCTCATGCTGCGCCAGCGCGTGAGAGAGAGAGAGAGAGAGAAAGAGAAACGGTTAACACACGCACGCATGCAGGCATACCCCATGTGCATGGCCTCATGTACCACATGCAAAATGCTAGATCCCACCTGACATTGCGTATAAACTAACAGTACATAAGCAACACATGCCCACGCACGTGACATCAATTTTGCAAGGCACTTTCCAAGGCGTCAAGCATTAGGCGTTGTGTCCAACATCATCGTAACAAAAACCGCGCCCACGTATAAATATATATATATATATATATATATATATATATAATTATATATACACGCAGCGAGGAAATCAGGACCAGTTTCCAAGAAAATTAGTTACCAGCGTGGACATGCCACAGCGCCAACTCGCGAGTGACAACGACGAAGGAGCTACGAGCGACGCAGGGTAGAGTGAGGAGACACTTACGTTGGCTCTCTCCGACTGCATGAACTTCTGCCTGCGTAGGCTAATACTAAACAAACCTGCTGATCGATCATCAGTTCTGCAATGCCCGCGTGCGCCATGTTCGTGCGCTCAGCCCTGACCACATGGCCCAGTCAGCTGTGATATCTGACGCCTGCAAACACAACAACGAGATACTCAAAATATACACAATAAAAACGTCAGATACCTCCTAAATACCACAATACACGTCAGATACCTCATAAATACCACAACACACGTCAGATACCTCCTAAATAACAATACACATAGATTATCATAATACTGCGAAGGGACCACGGCCAGACACATGCCTAAAACCTGCAAGATGTCAGACAATGCGGCTGCCGTACATACTGCAACAAACTCAATCAATCTACATACTGCTTAGCGTATATAATATATCAGATAGCCGTTGCATTGGCATACACTCCTACACACTGCTACTGACTAGGAACCTGGACATCTCGAGTGATTAACAGGTAACACCAGCCAATCATCATTGCAATAGGAACACTCTAAAAACGTCACTACACTGCAAGCGCCGCGCAGTCGACGAATTTGGCGTCGCGCCCGCGTAAAACACGTATAAACAAGTCTACGCCTGTCCGACTCGGTGACAATATC